CTTCAACACCAATAAACCACATAGTTTTTTTTTTTTTTTTTTTTTTTTTTCAAAAAACCAATTTTTTTAAAATACCCCAGGTCCTTTTAGGGGGAGAGCCCCCCCCCCCCCCCCCCCCCCCATCCCCCCCCCTCTCTCAACAGATGGAACAGAATCTTTTCCCACCACACAAACTATAGAATATTATAAGCTTGTTATTATGAATTATGCGTGAAATTTCATCCAATCAGAAATGGAGAAAGATTTGAATGAATAATAATACTTTATCATTAAGACTTACCTCAATGCTTTCCAATGTTAATTGGCATCTTTCTTTTATTACCCAGGGGTCCTTGCTTAATTGGGGTTGCCCAATTTTTTTTTTTTTTTTTTTTTTGCAGAATACCAGTTGTATTAGAATACCGCAGGTCATTTCAGGGGGAGTGCGCACCCCCTGCACCCTCCCCCTAGATCCGCCCCTGTATAGAGAGATGGAACAGAATACTTTCGCCAACGCAAAATAGTGTGTGTCAATCCGACATGTTACTGTATCAATTCAGATTGATGAATATGACTTTCGCATTTTGTACGTACGTTATAAATTGTATTATGCAAAGTAAACCAGTTAATCGCCAAGCTAAAAAAAATGTTTTGTTTCTCTTGCAAAAATTTGACGTATCAGAAAGCGCTCACCCAATTTCAACAGTTGCATGATTGCATACGCGCTTGTTCCTTTTTCTTTTTTTCAAACGATAGAAATGTTAAAAACATGGACATTTATTTTCACAATGATCGAATGCCTCCATTACAAAGGAAACTCATAGGAGAGAGAATAAGAGAATTTCATTGATTAAAAACGAACAGACTCAAATGTGTACGGCTTTTGCCGCATAGGCTAATTTAACCTTCAGCTGAAACAAGATTGCTGAAAAGTAACTTTCCATTACTTGGACAACAGTAAGTTGTACCGTCGATTGGACAACCAACTATAATTTTTGCCATGTTACGACATCAAGTACATGTTTTGATCTTTTTTAACTAATAAAAATGATAAAACGAATTCCAAACAGTAAACGAAACCAGTTTTCAACATGAAACAAATACACTTCCTTCTCATCCTATACCTACTAATTCATATAGCCATGATCCTTAATATTATTTTAGCTTAATTCATAGCTCTTTTGTACCTTAAGAGAACGGTTGTTACTTAATTGTGATATCAGATTAATTGTAGTTGTAAACACCATTGAGACAAAAGAAAGAAAATGATGAAGATAGTTTCATTTTAGACCACTGTACAAAGCGAGATTTGAAAAATGTGAATGATATATTCTAGAAGGCGTTTTCGCTAGACGTATAATTGTCGTATCAGCTGCTGTTAGAGACAAACATTGCTTTGAATTTCATGGAACTAAAACATTTAGTTCTCATAGTAGACTTAGTTGAAATCAAAACAAATTAGTAAGGAGTAACAGTTTAGTCCCTTGAACAAGAAACTATTCTATTAATAATATAGATACCAATTTTGAACTGAGCAAATTTAAGAAATAAAAAGTCAATTATTTCTTATTGTAACAAAAGTAAACGCATGAGTATTGCAACTTTAATAACGAGGTGGAGATAAATTACTATATTTTGACTTTATATTCTCTACGTTCAACTCCTTACGTTGACTAACCTGTGCGAAGAATAAAACAAAGTTTTTAAGCTATCTTTGTTTTCCATTTAAGTCGAACCAAAACTTTAAATCATGCACGTATTTGATATATTTGAGGATAATCAACGGTTGCAAATGAGCTGAGTATATTTAAACACCTGTTGCGTTCGAATTAAGTAATATCATCCTTTGATCTCTTTGTGGCGAATTAAGTCGTCATATTCTTCACACGCGTCAAACTGTGGCTTCTTACGCTGTTAACGATTTGAACACAAATCACTCCAAATAATCGACAAAGAACTGCTAAAATGAGAATACCGTTGCTCTTGCTCTTCCTTGTTGCGGTTTTCGTTAGTTATTTTTGCACAGGGGGTAAGTGTGAGCTTTGTGTGTGTTAAAAGACTTACTTAGTCAGCGAAAGTTAGAAGATAAAGTTTATTGTCCACTTTAAGGTTTAAAAATGTTTGAACGTGTAGGGTGCAGTATTTTGCTTTTTTCACTTGAAAGGTTAAATGAGATAATAAACTAATAACAACTTAGGCACAAAAAAGGAGATATGCAATATCGCCGATTCTGCCAAGAAGTAACTATTGTTTTGAGCAGCGGCTCCGCCGCCAAATCTCACTCGCCTAATACACAATACCGCCAGCTACGCAGGCCATAAAATAAGCTCATCACAGAGTAGAAAAAACGTTTACAAGGCAGCTGCATTTAAATAAGAAAAGAAACCATTAATTTATAAATATCACCCATTTTCAAGTAAGTGATTGTATTTCAAAAATTGTTCTAATTCATTGCAGTGCTTTTCGCTTTTCTGTAAAATATTTCAAATGAATTGGTGCAAGAGCTCCACAACAATTGTATTAATTAATTATCCGTTCAGACACCCGAACCGTGAAGCCAAGATATAGCTCAGTTTCTATCGTCAGTGAAGCGCCTTTTTACCAGAAAGTGCCCACTTAGTAACTTGTATATGGCAGAGGTGTTGTGGTATCCAGAATAATCAAGGTCGAGGTGAGTGTTATAATCCTCAGCGTTTTTCATCGCTGGTTACACTTACCGAGTCCTTGATAATTTCGGATGTCAGAAACAAACAAACGAATCTAACACAGTCGAACCTCCATGTGCGACCACCTCCCATAAGCAACTACAGATTCAACGCCAAAGCACTAAATCTTTCCTATATCTCATTTACATCAAATAAATCCGACACTGAAAAACATACAAGGAAAACTGGAACACAGGTTTTCACACAGGATTAATGAAATTCAACATGCTTTGTAATTTGCTCTAAATTTGCAATCAACCTAAGGCAATAATCATCTTCTAAAGATGTTTAGCTTTGAGGTGGATGGGGCTTTAGTCTGATCATTACCGTTGGAACCTCTTGTAAACGGTCTCACCTTGTTGGAATCCCTCCTTAACGACCTCACCCCCGCGTCCGTCCAAGAGACCATTACTGTGACCTCTTTTTACGATGCCGGTTGTATATCCTCTTGTAAGCGATCACTTGCGCAAAGGTTTGATCTCTTTTTCGGTGGATGTGCTACACTTTACAAACTGTGCGAGGAATTTAAAAATCGCAACATCACGTGAAACTTCACATAATATGTAATTTAATATTACAATAATTCCAAGCTGAATTGAAGGTGAATTAGGCGTTGCCAATTTTGAATTTTAAAGCTTTACATGATCAAAAATTCCACGGGTCGCGAAACTCATTGAACAAGTTCTAACCTCAAACGGCCGAATAAAGTTATTTTATTAGATGCTAAAATGTTTTATTTTCTTAACAGAGTGTAAAAACACCGCTTATTTTTCGAGAAGCACAGTTACGTCATCTTCCGAGCTTTCTCCTCAATTTTCCGCTGCGCATGCGTCTTTATCTTCTTCAACTGCATGGTGTCCACAACAAAACTTTACTGACAACGAGTACTTACAGGTCAGCCTTAATAATGAGTATTTGATGCCTTTGCTTTTGACTTTAAGATGCGTTTTTGTTTAATATACAACTAATTCAGTAAAGGTTGCCGTGGCAATTGTTGGTCATTGGCAATTGGGTATTGGGCATTTGGGCATACGGAACCCACGGCAATGATAAGCTTGGGTGACCACCAAACAAAAATTCTCGGTACGCAACTCTCCAATATACATAAACAACCTTCATTGAATCAGTATATATACTTAAATCAAGGTTGCTCTGGCAATTGCGCATTGGGAATTAGGGCATACAAAACAATACAATGATCTTCTCGAGTGCCCGCCAGACTATGGATTTCCAGCGTGCAATTACTAATGCCCAAAGCAACCTTTATGGAATCAGCTATATACCGTGTGGCATTAGATCTTTGCGGGTTCTTAATTGTTATGTTGTTTATTTGCATATGCCCCCAAACAATTACAATACCTTTGTACGCAAACTGTTGAAAATTGAGAAAATATAGATGGCTAGCAAGAAAAACCCTTTTAAGTGTTACCGGGTGAGCAAAGGGCGAAGCGCACCCATCACTTTTTATTTCACTTTTAGTTTCGTTATCTTCTCGCGCAGCATTTCTTGCTACGCAGACGAACAACAATAAGCTCCTGCACTAAGCGCAAAAAATGTCCATGTACATTTACAAAATTAAAATCCCACAAAAACACACTTTAATGCATTATCCTTCAATTTCACACAGAGAGGAACAAAACTATTCAGAATGAAAAAAATATGTTCTGCTTTGTTCGTAAATTTAATACAGCGATAATGATGGAAGCAAATTGGCAATGTTGGTTTAACACATTGCTAGTTTCATCCAATACGCCACTTACACATTTCCCACAATGCACCTTACTTGCCCCCTAAAAATTTGCATAAGCATTGTTTTCAATTTCTTTTTGGACGGCTGTAATACCCAGGAGAAATGAAAAACAAATGTTAAGCAAAATTTGGCGGGGAGTGGGGGGAGGGGAGGCAAATAAGGTCCATTATGGGAAATGTGGAAGTGGCGTATATAAATAACTGTATCAATCAATCTTGTCGAATTTTGTATTACATATGTATTCTCTGCGAGGGTAAGGGTGATCAAACTGCTATAATGTTCATTGCCATAGAAAAAGCTGGCGCAGGAGTTGTGGTGGTGGATGGTTGATGATAAAAGTTGTGTTTCAAGGAGATCAGGAACGTGACATTCGCATACGAAGACCTATGAATGTGTCGCAGCTGCATTCGTCATTTTTTTATTCAAATTTCGAGACAATGTCGTCCATTCCTTGCCCCAATCCTTTTCTTGCACTAGGGGAAGATATTTATATTTATATTTATATTTATATTTATATTTATATTTATATTTATATTTATATTTATAGTTTTTACTGTTTCATAACCCAGATTGACTTAGGAGGAACGAAAGTATTAAAGAGGATAAAAACTGACGGTGAAGCCAGTCCAGCCGTCAACCAAACTGCAAGAAACGTGACAAAGTTTCTGATTAAAGTCAGTGCTGACGGCGTTACATATGAGGATTTTGATGCGGTAAGGGGCTCTTAAGCTGACACCAATGGCTATAATGTCAGTTTTAATGTCATGATATGGCTGGTTTGAGCATGACGTCACGGCGGCCATGTTGTGGTAAAGAACACGATCATTGCTTTCCTTTAGGAACTAAACTCCATTTTTTCGTGTAAAGAATTCTTTTGAATTGACCGCCAACATGAACGCCTTGTCACGTGCTTGCAAACCAAGAATGTATACTGTAGTTTCTCGTGTCAGCTTATCGACCTTATTTGATCTTATTTGACTTTGTTGCTGCAAGAAAATAGGCATCAGAACTTAGGTTGTCAGCGCTCCGTCGAAACAAATTAAGAGCTTTGTTCACACGGCACCCCTCAAATTTTCGACCTGTTGCCACAAAATTTGTGCTCTTAGGTAATCCGTTCACACGCTATCCATACACAAAATTTAGACGCCTTGCGGCTCAAAAATTTGATCGTCAAAATCGGGGTCAAGTTTTTAATCAGAAAGGTCGAAAATTTGACCGGAGTGGTCAGCGGTCACCATAACAGTCTAAAGTTTTCTACAGCAAATTAAAGGCGTGGCTGCATGATAATTGGTAACTCAGCTGAAAGTCGTCATTTTAGATTTGCTAAAGTAGCGTTCTGCGCATGGGCAGATGGTAAAACTAGTTATTTAAACGTCAAATCCGTCAATCTCGTTCCCAGAGGCCGCGATCCTTGTGTGTGAAAAGAGCGAAAATAGTGAACGTCTCCGTATAAGCATAGTGTTCTCTCAAATTTTTCAGCGGGTGGAAACTTCTTCCACTGCCTAGGGATTCGTAGCCTAACTAAAACAAAAATTCCAGCTCTGAGTGTTTTGTCAAAGAAATTAATAATACTTCAATTAATATTTTCCATCTTTCAAACCAAAAGAAAAATGTTGACGCAAATTTCTGCCTTATTAGGAATTAAACAAGCAATTTGGGGCCAGCTTTCCGAAATTTTTTCTCGAAGGTTTGTTCGTTTGTCTTTGTTGTTCGTTTTCTTTTTTTTTTTTTCTTTTTTTTTCAAGATTTCAAGCAAGCCTAAACCAGAAATAATAAAGAGAGAATGAGAGGTTTCATGAAGCACAACAGTGTATTGGTGAAGAACAACTTAATTTTGCATAGTAATTTTTCAACATCTAAGTATCGCTGATAGTATCTTAACTATTATACTACACACATACTACATGCATCAGTTTACTCATAACATGATTCTTTTTCGTTATGACAAACATCACATTCAGTCAGTCAGTTAGAGCGTGTAAAAATGGGAAGGTGAAAAGAAAACGTTATTGGTCATTTCAAAGTAATAAACCAAATACTCTATTTTATCATCTAGTTTACACAGGATGATTTTACGCTTGAAATCAGGACACAATACCTTCGCATAGTGCCACTGGATTTTGTTGGATTTCCTTGCATGAGGATCGAAATCTATGGGTGCAAAGGTATTAAATGACTCACTTTTGTTTTTGGTCTGTTCGGCTGATTTGTATGTTCCTCATAGCAGGCCTTCCTCCAACCACGTCAAACTTTATATTGCTAACTTTATGCACAAGATTTGCACCAGAGTGGTTTCGTAAATGGTAAGTATCCAGGGTTTCTGAGAATGTTATAAACGCGGGAGGGGAGGGGGATTGCATCGCCACAAACCACGGCCCATATTTTCAGAAGCTTTCCAAAAATGATTTCCCGACCGAAGATTCCGGTTATCCGATGTAAATGGTAAGTACACCTTATATATCTAAACTTAAACTTGTTGAACGTCCCTAGCGCTCGTCTGCCGATATAACTAAATCGTAACGAAACCTTTATGTTCTTATCTTCTTTTCTTTTTATAGCAAAGAAACAAAAATTGTGCAGCGTCGATAATGGTGGATGTTTACAACAATGTATTCAGCATTCTAAGTACTGCATTTTTGGGAAATGTTTCTTTAGCTGTAGCATCGATTCCCTTTGTACAAAGTGGGTGGAATGCAAATGTGATCCTGGATACAAACTGCTCAAGGACAAAACAAACTGTGCAGGTAATGAAGGCTTCGGTGTTCAGCACCGTAGAATAATAATGATATAGTCTAAAAACAGTGATATCACATATACTTTAATTTGTGAAACTTCTATACTTTAAATAATAACGTCACAGGCTAAGCTAGTGAATCACATCAATGGACACTTTGGATTTTTTTTTTCCTTTCTGATAGACGTAAACGAGTGTGCCACCAATAGCGGAGGCTGCGATCAGATCTGTAACAATACAAAAGGAAGTTATGAATGCAACTGCCGCAGTGGTTTCTTGCTTTCTAGCGATAAACACAAATGCAACGGTAAGTCAAAAAATAGGGTCACAACAGCAATATCTGGTATACTTGTGGCACAATCTATCTTCTATATCTTCCTATATCGAACAATAAGGGCCACCTAACGATAATTTCCTCCAAAATACATTAAAAACACTTTCTAGACTATCCAGAGTACTTCTAGATCTCTAAAACTGCATTCTAAGCGGCGCAATAAAATTTGTCATCCTAGGGGAACTTGAGTCTCTTCAAAATTACTAGGGCTTCAGTATCATTTTCGCGAAAATTTTAGAGGCAATTTTAAGGTATTACGAAAGTGAAAATTTTTCTGATTTCTCTCTCCATCATATTTTTGAATCCGAACATTTCAGGTTTCCTTTTCTCTACTTAAAATAGCCTAACCTGGGGAGTGAGATGGGAAAAATTAAACTTCAGAAAATCGTAGGGAATTTATTAGAAAAGCTTCGAAAATTGTGCATGAATGAAACGACCATCTAGAAATTTTTAGCCGTCCTCAAGTAATAGAAAATTCTCCGAACAGATACATTAAACAGTTGAAGGATGCCCCTAAACAATGGCTGATGAACAAAAGCGTATCAGCTTCGTATAAAGTGTTAAAAACCTCCAGAAGCCTACTTTTCATCGTCTTGAGATGGCAGGGAAAGATTTAGCCTAAAAAATCGTGCAAGACAGTTTTTGCGTAAAGCAGTGTTATTCTAGACAACATTCAAACAGTCTTTAGTTTGGAATCTCATTCAAAATAAATGGCTAACAAAACAAAACTGGTCAATTTAATGGTAAAACATGGAAAACTTTAGGCAGAATCGTGATCCACGAAATAATCCAGACAGTTATTATAAGACTTATAACCGAGAATGTGTGAATAAAGGAAAAGACATCCTCGCCTCGTTCCCCCCAGAATTCAATAATAATTGTCAATTTGCTTATAAGTGAACAATAGCACCAATCAATCATACGAAACAAATAGTTGAAAATCATCCTGCAAAAAGCAATGCATTCATCACGAGGCAGTCCGCGGTCACAAGGACAAAAGCCTCGTTCCAGTACAATCACTCTACAGTTACGAATATCAAGTACTATGGGTAAAAAGGAGTGGCATGCAAAGATCACTCTCTATTTGAACCCCTAGCTGTAGGATAAACACCATAGTTCAGTAGCCTTTTATTTACGTGCATCTGTTTACATGTCATTTTATATTTTATCATTTGTCGAGTTTTACCATTCTTTTTTATATACCTTCTTGCGGCATGGCACAGATGTGGATGAGTGTAGCGTTAATAAAGGTGGCTGTAACCAGTTTTGCCATAATACGTATGGAAGTTATTAGTGCTCGTGCAAAAATGGCTTCAAGCTTTCAGCAGACAATCATACCTGTAGTGGAAAGGTTATGCTCAAAATTGTATTCTTTTAATTTACTTTAAACTCACATTCTTTAGATATCGACGAATGCGCGGTGAGTAATGGCGGATGTAGCCATGGCTGCCAAAATCAACAAGGAACCTATCAGTGTACATGTCCAAAGGGATTTGAACTGGACGCAACGAAAAAGAACTGCACGGGTAAGACAAGAGTTAGTCTAACAACTATAAAAAAACAGCACATCGTTCATCGTCACTGTACCCTTTGGGAAGGTAATGATAGAGTCTAAAAGCAGTGATATCACATATACTTTAATTTGTGAAACTTACTTTCACTAGGCTAGTGAATGACAGTAATGGACAGTTTGGATTTTTTTTTTTTTGCCCTCTCTTATAGACGTGAACGAGTGTTCCACCAATAACGGAGGCTGCGATCAGATCTGTAACAATACAAAAGGAAGTTATGAGTGCAAGTGCCGCAGTGGTTTCTTGCTTTCTAGTGACAAACACAAATGCAACGGTAAGTCAAAAAAAATAGGGTACAACAGCAATACCTGGTACATTTTTGGCACAATCTATCTCCTATATCTTCCTATAACGAACAATGGCTGATGAACAAAAAAGTGTCAGCCTCGAATGTAGTGGTAAAAACCTCCAGAGTTCGGTCATTTCGATACAAAATCGTTTCGATACGAACTCAAGCAGTGATATTACACAAAAATTTCGATCAATTCAGAACCTCCAGAAGCCTACTCTTGACTATTTTTCATCGTCTTGAGATGGCAGGGAAAGATTTGCCCTAAAAAATCAAGTGAGAAAGTCTTCGCGTAACCTACCTTATTCTAGGAAGCATTCAAACAGTCTTTAGTTTGGAATCTCATTCAAAATAAACGGCATACAAATCAAAACTGGACAATTCAATGGTAATCCTGATCTATGAAATAATCCAGACAGTTATAATAACCGATTGTGTGAATGATGGAAAAGACACCCTCTCGCCGTTGTATCCTCTAGGATTCAAATAGTCAATTCGCTTTCAAGTGAACAATAGCATCAATCAATCATAATTAACAAATAGTTGATAATTTTCCTGCACAAAGCAATCCATTCATTACGAGACAGTCCGCGATCACAAGGACATAAGCCTTGTTCTAATACAAACACGTGACAGTTTAGAATACTAAATACCGTGGGTAAAAAGAAGTGGCAATTGCAAAGATCACTCTTCATTTGAACGCCTAGCTGTAGGGCAAACACCAGAGTTCAGTAGCCTTTTACTTACGTGCATCTCTTTACATGTCATATATTTTATCTTTTCACTGTTTTGTTAATTTTTACCATTCTTTTTTTATACCTGCTTACGGCATGGCACAGATGTAGATGAGTGTAGCGTTAATAAAGGTGGCTGTAACCAGTTTTGCCATAATACCTTTGGAAGTTATTATTGCTCGTGCAACAATGGCTACAAGCTTTCAGCAGACAATCATACCTGCAATGGTAAGGTTATGCTCAACACTGTAGTTACTGGTAGAGTGAAACTTTTTGACAGCTGTGATATTGTGCATTTCTCAATAGGTATTTCACTTTCAATAAAAATAATTGATGGTATTTATCAGTCTTAACCTGCGCACTTTCCAAATCCGTATAATTTCCAAGGCCTGAGCTGGTTGTTCATAAGGTGAATAGTCCTTTGTGGTGCATTCCCGCAGTGCGGTGAAATAGACGTTACACTGTTCTATATCGATCGTAGCTGCATCAATGTGCTATAAGTGCTGATCGAAACTATGACCAAGAGGTTGTTGTTAGAGGTAGAAAAAATACATTGCTTATTCATTAAACAGTTTCAGTTCTAAGGGATTTATTAAAGTTATCATTTTTTTGCGTGCAAACGCCTTCTTCTTCTTGAAAAAGAAGGGCAAAACCCTAACCCTTTAAGCCCTAAGAGTGATCCGTATCTAAATTCTCCTTGTGATATAAATGCTTTTTAGAACAGATTGGTGATGAGAATTAAGGAGATGATCACACAAGATAGAATGAGTTGATACTTCAACAACTTCTCGTCACTACATTAATAGGAAACGTATAGGAACAGCAAATGGGAATTTGAATTTTGATATTTGGGCCTACTCCTTATCATTATTTTCATTTTGAGGAAAGGAGAGCGTTGTGTTCTTTTAATTTACTTCAACTCACATTCTTTAGATATCGACGAATGCGCGGTGAGTAATGGCGGATGTAGCCATGGCTGCCAAAATCTGCAAGGAACCTATTTGTGTACGTGTCCAAAGGGATTTGAACTGGACGCAAGGAAAAAGAACTGCACGGGTAAGACAATAGCAGGTCTAACAACAATAATAAAAAAAAGCACATCCTTCAATTCGTCACTGTACCCTTTGAGAAGGTAATAAAACATTTTTAATGGCAGAAATTCTTAACAGTTGTTTACTCTAACACTCTGTTTTGCGTTTCTACTGGTATTACGCTATGCTCAACCTTGCTTCGATTAATGCCCAGAACATGTAAAACAATTACGATAAAAAAACTATTCAATAATTTTGAAAATCATGTATCTTTATTGTGCCCTAAATGATCAAAATAAAAAAAAAAAAAGAAAGAAAATGGCCGTCACGAATGTCGTATATTTGGACCCGGGGAATGAAGAAATAAATACATTAAGAAGGCCAATATCCGAGAACATTGCCCTTTAAAAATCTGTTTTCCTTTGCTTACAGATACAAATGAATGCTTGCTTGCGAACGGTGGCTGCCAAACTCATTGTACCAACACTAACGGCAGCTATTATTGCTCCTGTTTACCTGGATTTGAGTTATACGATACACTCATGTGCAGAGGTAAGACAATAGAGGTATAAAAATATCTTTTAAGAAAATCTCTGAGAGACCAATACGATTACACAAAACGAGCCTTGTCAGAAAAACAGCCCTATTCTTTCCCAAAAGCTTTACTTGATAAGTCAAAAAAATAATCCATTGTCGTGATATATAGCTCCCATACGGTGTAACTTGTGTCACCGCGCGTCGTAAAGAAAATCTCTAAGGCTAAGGCCAAATGTTGAACTTTTCAGCTGTGGGTTAAAGGGCTGTGTCATGGCGGTCTAGTTTATTTTTACTATTTAACAATTATTGAACGAGGTTAAGCAAAATATCGTGATTTGTGAGTGGCGAGCAGATCAAATAATTGATCTGCGAGACACTGACAAATCACGATATTTTGCGATAACCGAGTTCAATAATTGTTTATCATTCGATCACCAAGTTTTTTTATTAATGAATATCTTCGGGAAGCGAAGCGATCTGCCATTTTTCACGCAAGAGCGATCGCGAGAAGGAGAAAAGCGTGTTTCGTTTACGCATTAGCAGGATATCATTTGCAGCCAAACACAGTTGGACGACGTGCATGAACAGATCATTGTTTGTAGGCAGTTATTTGCGGGCCTCGTGGTGGGATTTCAGCCAATGAAAAGGACGAAAAATTTGCATCGAATGATAATGCCAATTATGCGTCCTTATTCGCTGGTGAAGGAACTAGTTGTTAAAATAAAGAAAGACAGGTTTTCAAAAGCCACAATCCCAACCCGTTTTAATCTACTTTAAATTTTGTCCATCCCTACTTTTTTTGTATTTTCCTCGTTGTTTGTAAATGTACTTTCTTTTAACGTTTGAGTGGAAAATCATGCTTGTACGGGAGTGGAACCCTTCACCACTGCGATACCATTGCAGCGCCCTTCCAACTGAGCTAACAAGCCAATTGGGAGCAGCTCATTGGGTTTCTTTGTTACAAACTCATTAAAGGATGACGATGAAGTAATAAATATAAGTTTATGATTAGCTCGACGTTTTTCTCAGATTAATTTGAGTTCGCTAGAATGAGTTTTGACCGACAAACATGTTCTGTCCGTCTTCTTTAGACTTAAAAAGCACTCAGCTATAGAAAGATATCAGGTTTGATGACACTATTTTATTTTTAGACATAGACGAATGCTATCATAACAGCGACAACTGCAGCCGATCATCAACTGACTGCCAAAACTTTCAAGGAGGGTACGAGTGCAAATGCAAGTCGGGCTACAAATACATTCAAGGAGATAAATTTAACTGTGAACGTAAGCATGCCATGTATTTTTAGTGACTAAAAAGGTATAGTGTCCTTATATTACGGCGGCAACTCGTGTCATCATCCGAGTAAAAAACTTGAGGCCAACGGTGTGCTTCCCCAACTCGCTTCACAAGAATTTGAGGTCACACCTGGAGATCGAACATGGAACCTTCCGCACAGAAGGCCGTGCACGAACCAACTGTATCAGTCCTTGCTCCTACTTGACTTTGACCTTAGTACATTTTATTTTACATTATATTTCAACAAACAAATCATTCTTTCTTTCTTTATATATTTACTTATAGTTCGGTCTTGCCCACCCCTGGTGGAAGTAGCGGGAACTTCTGTCAGCCCGAAAGATTGTTTGGTAGTTGGTGCAAGGAAAGTTAATGACACCTGTACCTTCAGTTGTAAGGAGGGGTACAAGCTTCCAGACCCCAATCAACCTACCTTGACCTGCCTGGATACTGGGGCCTGGGACAAGGCTGTTATAAACTGTCAACGTGAGTAATGAAAAGGAAAATATTTGGTTATTTGCGGAAGTTTAGATGTACGTTGTCTGAGTATGTACAAGCTAAACTGTTACATAGCATAAAATATTTATTAACAATATATTCTGATAGCAAAAATTCAAACCTTATTGTAAACAATGAGTATACAAGCAAAAACATACAAGCATATTTTTTAATACTCTGTATGGTTAAAAGAGAAAATTAAAAGTACATTTGAGGGACAGTAAAACAATAATCGGAACATCAGTCTTCGTAATGATGCTCTTTTTAATGCTCATTAATTAAATTTCAAATTCTTTTACTAATTGTAAAATTAATGTCAGTTTGGCATTTGATCCCTGAAAGCTCCTGAAGTTAGGGATCCAAATGATTAAACGTATTTCTGACCTTTATTTCACCATTTTCTAGGCAAGAGCTGCCCTGCATTACCTCCAATTCAAGATGGATTACTTATCCCAGCTTTCTGTGCGGTGACTGGGAATTTTTTTAACCAGTCCTGTCAGTACTCTTGTAATCGAGGTTACAGTCTAAATGGAATCTCTTCTAGGACCTGCCAGGCTAACGCTGAATGGGATGTTAAGGCAATTCCTAAGTGCGATAAAGGTAAAAATAGACCTTGTCACGGTTTTCGAGGCCATCTTGACGAGTAGGCAAACGTGTGAGAAATTAAAGTGTTTGTATGAGAATCTAATGTCGAATAATTTCCATGAAACGGCTGTTCTGAATAAATATGACTTGTAAACTAAAGCTTCAAAACAAAGGATTGTACTTAAAAAAAATTGGGGGCGTACCTGTGCTTAAACTTCTCCAGAGGCTTGCTTTAGATTTTCCATATATTTGTCTGTTATTTTTCCAGGGACTTTCTTACAGACAAATGTACAGAAAACTTAAAAAAGTGGTTTTCCCTGATAAATCGATCATTCATGCACCACTGATCTTGCGATCGATGCTGTACATCCAGCCTCTTACGGTTACTAGAGCGTTGTGTAATTCCAAATATCAGCATACATATACCTTTGTTTACTACGACATTTTCTCCTCAGCCTCGTTTATTTCAAGCTTGTTAACGTAAGGCACTCTCTTTGGCACGAACCACCGCGTAGATAAATCGTTCTTACCTGATATTCGCTGAAAACATTTTTATTGTAAGCTAAAAGTCCTGTAGTTGTGACTTAAAGATCATGACAAATAGAGAGCATGCGATGAATGGCCTGACTTCCGTCATCTTGAGAGGGTACAATATACAATACAGCGTTTGGCGGAAAGTTGAGTTGACCTGCTGCATGGTCTTTAGAAAGAACTTAGCTAAAATTACCTCAGGTTTCAATCCTACGGTAGTTTAGCTGGAGGTCAATATTCAGAGACAATGCTATCAAGGCAAAAAAGATCACTGAAAAAAAAAATCTTCCTCAGTTTTTTGACCATTCATTGGTTCGTCTGATTCATTTTATTTTACACATTTACATCACAGTTTAACGATCAGGGGCACCCAACGACAATTTTTGGAAAATATCTGTTAGGAAGACGATTTGAGATCTAGAATTTTCTGAACATTTGTTGTAAATTTCTTGCTTGTCTGCCTCTCCAAAAATTCTCGAACATCTAAAAAATGGTATTAATTGCCTATTTTTAACGGATTTTTACCCAAAAAAGGTCACCTAAAATTTTCGGGAGCCTTTGTTGTGGCTGAAATTTTCGAAATGGTACGTTTTGATCCCTATCATGAATTTTCGCATCACTAGACTTCAGCTTTCGGCTAGGAAATCCGAACAGATGAAAAATTTCTAGGGGATAAAAATATGCCTATATCTACCGTTTCAATACTAAAATACGTTCAACATTGCTATGTTTAAGTGGTTCTGAACTATAATCTCGTTGGGTGCCCCTGAAGAATTACAGATTCTCTTGAATACTTCATTGGTTATTGCTGTATGGAATGTGTGTTATCGATGGCCAAAGTATCATCTGCTTTCGAGTTGGCCACCACCTACTTTTGAATAAATTAACATAAACGATGTTGAACACAGAGTCATTAACTGTGTACTGAACGAAATCTCCTATGACTCTTTTTTAGTGTACCCGAAGCCTTGGATCTCATGCCCTGACGATGTCATCGTCGATCTCGCTCCAAATAAGAATACCTATGACATTACTGCACTGCTTGAGCAACCTCAGTCTAATGTGCAGAATATTCAGTTGTTTCCAGAAGAGCACCGTAATAGCCTAGTTTTTCCATACGGTCTAACCATACTCACATACGTCGCCAGCAATGAAGTTGGTACTACCGCAAATTGCACGACAAATATTATTGTTCAAGGTAAGCATGGGCGCGAAAACTATCAGAAAAGTTAATAAATCGATTATAAAACCTTCAAATGATTTTGGAGAATTACTGAAAACCAATGCACATCATAATTAAGTGTTTTCTGTCCTAGCCAGAGTATGGGTCGTTCACGTTCCAAAATGGATAATGTGCGAGGTTGTCTATTGGAGGGTTTAAACTGTATTACCATGTCACACATGACGTTCTATGCTCAAACTGTTTTAGGGCTTCTCGGCCTTCTACTTTTACATTTTGTGACAACACCCTTTTTCACTTTACAACACGTCCTTTCAATGATATATACCCTGCGGGAAGGAAGACGGGGAATTCGGGCGAGGGAAGGGTAGGGTTATGCTTGCCTTGTCCCTGTACGACGTTTTCCCAGTCCCTCTCGGTCAATTCACTTCCGAGGCGAACCGTCCCGAAACACTTTAGTCGCGCGGAATAATGAGGCCCACGGACTAGGCAATTAGAGCACGGTGGCCAGATGAAGTATTGCTTCTTCTCAGTACATAATAAACATACTAGAAGAATAGAATGCCAGACAATATGGACCGTTGTATCCATCTTATAACCAAGAATGTTCCAAATAGCTGTTTATTCAGGAACATCGGAGAAGTCCTCATTCAGTGTATGCGTAATTTTACCAGTTATTCCCGTTGTGACACATACTTGTCCTCTTTTATCTTTTTTTTTCCTTAATTGCAGCTTATCTTACTTGATTTGCTTTACATAGCATTTTCTCCATGCACACTAACAATTTCATCTCTTACATAGATAAGCAACCACCTAGCGTTGTCTATTGTCCTGACAACATTTATCAGTTGATAGTGGGTTCGATCGCAAGTGTAACATGGAAACTGCCAGAATTTGCGGACAATGTTAAAGTGGTCAAAGTCACATCAACAAAAAATCCCGGAGACACCTTCCAACTGGGATCCACCAACGTTAAATATGATTCTTTTGATGACAGTGGTAATACCGTAAGCTGCACCTTTTCTGTGACGCTCAAAGGTGAATGTGTTGATAGTTTAATATACCTAAATCGCTATGTAATGAAGCCAGTACTTCCATTTTAAAGGAAAACAATAACAACAACAACACCTAAAAAATTCGATTTACTCAAGTTGGATTTCTTGCAAGAAGTAAATCTAAAGTGGATGGGGTGGACAAATTTTGCTCTAAAACAGGAAACCGGATCCTTTATTATAGAAACCCCTTATAAGTAAAAAATTTGAAACATGACAGAGTGTAATCTTTTCAATATCATTAATCCAATTCTACCATGGAAAGTTCTTTAAACGAAATAGAATGAACTTGGGTCATGGAAAATGCCTCCTTACCTTAGCATGGTATGTCCCGTAGGCTACTTTAGTCAGCAGGAATCTAGTCCAAACTGCACTAAGTGCCCGCCACAAACCAGCACCAAAACAAATGGCTCAAAAGCGTGCACCGGTGAGCAAATACATGTACAGATGTTCTTAAAAAATCTAATGATGATGCACGCAGGTTTTAGTAAAAAGAAGAATATATCAAAATAACACAATCGTAAGAAATGCATCACTAGCAAAGGTCTTTGAGCTCTGATATGATGAAGCTACATGCAATTATAAGATGCTGCAGCCGTTATAATTATCTCGTGATTATTGTCGCCTGCCTAGATTTTGTCCCAAATTCAGGAGCGAAAAACAATTTTTCAAAGTAATTACTCACTAATTGGACTGAATATAAAACGAAGCCTTAATTACTATTTTGTCACCATAAAATCATTGTTCTCCATTAAGAAAGCCTTAGCATAGCGAAATAAACCGGTTTGAAATTTAAAGGCTAAGCGGTATGACCATCCCAAACTTTCCACCACGAACGTTTAACAAGAACTTTCTAACTATTTTATATTAGAAAAATCCAACTAGTGGTCTATTATCAATGCTACGTTCTGATTGGTTGAGCTACTGCTAGGCTATATGTTACAGCTCACTAGTAGCGAAAAGCGCCGGATTTTTGGCGGCAAAAAAGGATTAAAGTCTAGCTTCAAGTTGTTTTGTCTTGATATTTTTGACCAACTAGTTGGATTTTACTAAACCAATTATTCCTCTCGCCCTCATGGGCGATTGACTCAGAGCCCATTCGGGCTCGAGGAATAATTGTTAATTAGCCATTCGATGTACTGTTTCATTTGTTGTACAACTTTTTGTTTGCTTTTTTTTGTTGCCCTTTTTGTTTGTTATTTAAACAGCTAAAAAGTGCGAGAAACCTGCAAATCCAGATAACGGAGTACTCAAGTGCGAAAATTACGGGCAAATGATGTTTTGTACAACCACCTGCAATCCTGGTAAACAGCCATTCCAATACACATTTGGCTCAATCTGCAGTCAATCAACTTTAAAATGGCAGCCGATACCGGATTGTGTGGGTGAGTATAGTTAAGTGGGTAACCAGTAACTTGCCACGTAATTTGCATTTGCCAATTGCCCGATTATACACAAAATGAAACCCAGACTAGATGAGTCACTGCTTTACTTTCTTTAGCCCCAAACCTACGATCTAAAAGACCAATTAAGACTAAAAACTATGTCGTGAAAATTTTACATTCGGTTACTGGTTCATTTGTTTCTATGATAAAAATATCTTTAAAAGAAATAAACAATAGACAACCACTATATACAGGAAAGTTTTTTTCTTCGTTCTTCATGCTTTGGTCTTCGAGAAGGTCCTGGACGTATTTCAGAAATAGACGAAAACCTGTCCGGCTGCGGGATAAGCTTTATATTTTACAATTTACCTTAAAGAAAAAATTACTGCCAATGCAAATTGAATGGCTGACATTGAACGATGAATCTACTATTGTACTTATTTTATAGACGCTGTTCTTCTGCCTGACAGCGGAGTTTGTCCTGATGGAAAAATAAAGCAAGGCACCTTAGCGTCAGCGGAAAACTATGTCAAATATTGTGGTGGGTAACGAATCATCTGGGCCCTCGTGGAAAAGTCTTTTGCTACCCGAAAGGGTGTGGTTTTGGTCACTTTAATACCGTCATATTGTATTTCCCTTTTTTGCAGTGAGTTGTCCTCATGGAATGAAATATGATAATGCACTGAAAGATTGCGTGGTATGTCCCGTAGGCTACTTTAGCCAGCAGGAATCTAGTCCAAACTGCACTAAGTGCCCGCGACAAACCAGCACCAAAACAAATGGCTCAAAAGCGTGCACCGGTGAGCAAATACATGTACAGATGTTCTTAAAAAATCTAATGAAGATGCACGCAGGTTTCAGTAAAAAGGAGAATATATCAAAATAACACAATCGTAAGAAATGCACTACTAGCTAGCAAAGGTCTTTGAGCTCTGATATGATGAAGGTACATGCAATTATAAGATGCTCCAGCCGTTATAATTACCTCGCGATTATTGTCGTCTGCCTAGATTTTGTCCCAAATTCAGGGGCGAAAAGCAATTTTTCAAAGCAATTTTTTTTTTGAATACTCACTAATTGGACTGACTATAGAAGGACGCCTTACTATTTTGTCACCATAAATTCATTGTTCTCCATTAAGAAAGCCACTCAATTTTCAGGAACTCAAATGAACTCAGCTATATTTAGATTCCTAGTAAAGAATCTTTCAACCAATTTTTGACTGAGTCATTATTGGATATGCGTTTGTCAGATTTGTGCGATAAAGGAAAGTCGTCTGCCGATGGATTTGACAATCCTAACCATGATGCCTGCCATCTGTGCTCCATGGGTTTCTATCAGGATCAGTATGGTGCTACAAGCTGCATGCAATGCCCCAGTGGATTAACAACTATAGCAAAGGGTTCCATCACTCGGGACGACTGTGGAAGTATGTGTCGATATGTTATTCTTGAGCTTTTTGCACTTTAAGCGTATTTATAACGGGCTTTTTTGGTTTTCTGAGAATACGGGGAAGGGGAGCAAATCCTATGCCCACCTCTACCACCACCTACATTCTGTAATTCTAATAGGCTTTATTATTCATTCAAAATGTTTCCCCAATTCTGATTGGCCAAAACCACACGCATAATTCACCACAACCAGTTACTGATGGCCAAATTTGGAAGAATTGTGTATTTAACGAGGAAATGACGTCAAAAATGCAGCCCGCTACAGGTTAGGGCACCGTTACCGAGGAGACCTGGGGACAAGGTTAAGTTGTTTTGGTTGCGAAAAAAAAATGGCGGACATTTCACACGTTTCAAGAGCCTGGAACTAGGCGAAATGATAACTAAAAACATGGCAAAAACAGCAGGAAGGCAACTCGGAGGGCGACATCTGTTATTTGGAGAATATTTGCGGAGCTGGACAAACGTAAACGTACACTATCGAGAGGGTCTCAATGGGGTGGTGGCTTTTACGGTTATCGGCTAAAATTTTGGCTCTTTTACGGCCATCGGTTAATTTTTTTCAGTTACGGTTAACGAGAAAGTTAAAAATTAACTTCTTTTGTTTCAAAAAGTTAAATATTAATTAACCCGTACTTTTTTTGTATCTAAATCCAAATAAAGGTCTTCGGATCATCTCGGAATGAAATTCTTTTGAAAAATTTTAACATTTGATAGATCACACTTTTTATAAAGTATTCCACTTCTAATATTATTTTACACATAGAAATGTCAATAGTCAATTTAAAAAAAATCTTTGTGAAAAAGCAAAAGCAGACACGCAAACGCCCAACTCAAGGGCGGGGCGCGACATTCATTATAACAGAAACGGCCGTTTTCACACTAGAGAAGGATTATTCGTGTGAGACGGGTTATCCGTTTGATGATTCGCGTCAGATAGGCAATACGTCTTAATTTGAAAATGGAATAGTTTTAATTGTGAATGAACAATCCGCCTGACTTTTGAAGACGGGATTATCCGTTACAGATAGCCTGTGTACAGCCGCCCCCTCCACTCAGATAAAATCGGAGAAGGGGTGTCTGTGGGGAGGGCGCGACTGTACGCAGGCTAGTCTCATACGGATGATCCATTTCTAGCTCTAGTGTGAAAACGGCCCATAACAAAATCCCGTGAGGTCACAAAAATTACTATCGCTTCCTGACATGCCTTGCTGACAGACGGCAACGGAACAGGCATCCGGCGTAATAAGGCGCGCCGATTACGCAAAGCCCAGTGCACCAGGCTCGCTCAAGAGGTCCGAAATACCTTGACCGAGATTGCGTGGGAAGACGCCGTACAGGGACTAGGCATAATGTCGACCGTAGCGTCAGAGAAAAACAAGGAAATGTTGTTTATCGGCAACGTGCTTTACAAACAGTGACATCTCTGCGTGATGTCTCACTAGTGTTTGGAGGGCACGACCTCCAGAAAATTGCAAATATTAATCCCCAACAAGAAGCCACACTTTCGCTATAGAAAAAATTAGTTCCCCGAGAAAGCGCCGGAAAAGGAGCCTAAGTCTTGGTTAACATCTAAAAGGCGCTTCGCCTAACGTGCGTACGGAGTCACACTAGTCGGGAAATAAAAAACGCAACCATAAGTGAGTTTAGCACCTTCCTGACAAGTAGCAAATCTAGGTAACAATTTCCTCCACGGTTAACTCTATTTTACCCTATTTACGGCTAACGGTTAAAATTTTTCAATTTTTACGGCTATCGACTAAGTTTTTGGCCGTTTTAAGCCTATCGGTTAACCCCATTGAGACCCTCTATCGAAGATGAACTTAACATCGATGCAGGTAAGCATGTTTTAGCTATGTTTTTAAACTAGGAATTATTTTGAATGAATAATAAAGCAATTATTGAATTCGGCATTTGTAGGAAATCTCGGAGGTTGTTATCCACCGAGGCCGAAGGCCGAGGTGGATCACACCCTCCTCGATCTGCTTCATTCTTCATATACTACGAAAGCCGAATTCATTAATTGTTAATTATTATTCAAGTTGGAGTCGGATTCGTCTCGGTCCATAAAAGAATATAAAGAACTTCGCCAATAGCCAGCCATCTTGGCGCAACAAGCTTGGTCGATAACAGATTTAATCTAGTTTTTCTCGCCCAAACAAAGCGGGCAAGATAGGCCCATTAAAGGCGTGCTCGAAAATGAGCCAATGAGAACAAAGGATTCCCTCTAACTTGCTCGCTTGCGGAGACAGACGTCAAGCAATAAAACTTCTACATTTAACCAGCCTTTAACCACCAGGCTTTAGGTTTTGTATACACCAAGATATTTGCATGTCACTCTTGAGTCATTTTCTTCTAACTCTCTTTGACTAAAAAAGACAGCTCCGAAAACGAACATTCACTGCCAGGCCAACAGGTGCCCGGCAGGATTAAACTCACTTCTGTTTAGCGAACTCAGGCAGATGAGTTACTAGCTGCCAAATTTCTATATGCACCGACCGGCTCCCTGTTTGCCTTTGTAACTGCCTTACTGTGGATTCCTTATGCCCACAGCCATTCCCTCAGTTTCTTCTTTTGGACCACCTTCCATGGCAGTCAACGTGAGTGAGAACGGCAGAGCGGAGTTTGTGTGCATGGGATCTGGACCCCCGGCACCCACCTTCCTGGTTAAAAAAGTAAAACCAGTACCAGGTAAGTTTATTTATTTATTTATTTTCATTTATCGCTTATAGTTTAGCATCTTTTATTAATATTACCAAGAAACCTGTAGGCAAGGTACGATGGGGACAAGGCCGCCAGATGAGTAAAGCATAACCACACAGCCACTAGGTTGTCCTTCGCAAGAACTACGCCTAATGTCAGTCTCTATAAGTTGCATCAGGAGCTGCATGTAACTAGGAGGAGATCGTATTAATCAACTTCTTCATGTTAAATCATAAGCCTAGGAGTTTGAATTCTGTGATCTTGTCCAAGAGAGGTACTTTCCGTGACACACGAAGTGACGTTTAATCACCACGTTAATTAACCCAAAAAAATTTTTTTCTTAATTTTTCCTTTTAGATGGATTCGGTGGACCTCTGAAAGTAGACGAAATAAAGTCGGGTAATGTTGTGACAGGAATACGCTACGTCATACTCAGCACAACAGAACACGATGAAGGACTGTACTCCTGCACGGTCACTAACAAGTTTGGCTCTGATACCAAGTATCTTAACTTGTATGTACATGTGCATGTGGATTCCGGTGGGAATGGTTCTGGTTCAGGTAAGGGTGGGATAAATATATGTGTTTATTACTGTAGCAAAGGGGGGGACTCCCAAAAGCAACGAGGACGCTCGTCGGAAAATTAGAATTGAACCCCTGACAACGACCAATCTGGGTACGGCTAAGCCTATAGTAGCTTCAAAAGTGAAAAAAATAATTGGTTTTCCGTCCTGAACAATCTACGTGAGACCAAAATCTGCAATTTCCTTTCTTCAGTCCCGGCGCAAAGCATGCCTTACATTGACATCAGTACATGTACGACTACGAAACGTTCTATACGAAAATTGTGTACAAATTTAACCGACTTGACTCTCGACTTAACAAGATCAATTTCTGTCACTTTACTCCGTGAATTCTTCAAAACTACACTGTATTCTTCTCCACGAAATGTCAGTTTCTTTCCTTTTAAGAAAAATTGTGTCTAGTATGTAAGGTTATTTTTGATTTGGAAAGACATTAAGCGTCCTTAGTCCCGTTGTCTTCGACTGCCGAGTGCTGACAAGTGATAATAAAAGGGCTGAGAATTTTGATGAACACTTTTGGGCTTTAAGTGCTAATGGTATTCAAATGTGATTTATTATACAATGCTCTCATTTTACAAGAAAAGCTGGTTTTTCACAGTAGCTTCACGGCTTCTGAATATGTTCCACTTTTTTCTATCAAATTATTGTTTCAAGGTCAAGTAGAAAATGATAACCTTTTTAGATGAGTGGCTTAGGATATGTGGTATAGAAATTGTACGAATAACATTGATTTTAATTGTATGTGTGCTTTCTTTATAGGTGCTGGGCAATAGGCAAAAATAACGATGAAACAGATCTTGGGAGAGTTAAATTATTTGGGATATTTACTTAGGACTTCCACTTTCATGATGTATTTTACTGAAGTACAGTAATCTAGATACGAGGAAGGCAGTACGTAAGCCATCAAGGTTGTAAATGATTTGAAAAGATAATTGAGGAATAAAATACATCCAGACTGAATATTCAAAACTGTTATTTTATGCTTTCCAAACGAATGATATGAGAATTGTACGTGGCCACTTAATGCAACTGCGCTTTTTTTTCTTAAGAAAATCTAGTAGAACGTAACAAAGAGTTGATGCGGAACGAAACGCCAAAGACTAAGTCGCCCAAAATGTTAATTTAGATAGCAAATGGAAAAGGAAGAGGCCTTTACTAAAACGCATCCAAAGCAAGCAATTTCTTAGTCTGCTACACAGCCTTACTGGGTGGGGAGGAGCGTTGCGTGACGACACTAAAAACGGCTGTGTAGCAGACTAGCAATCTCTCGACCGCCCCTCCTGCACGGGCACCCAACGTCAATTTTCGGAAAATATCTGTTCGGAAGACGATTAGAGATCTAGAATTTTCGGAACATTTGTTGTAAAATTTCTTGCTTGTCTGCCTCTCCTAGGATTTTCGAACATCCAAAAAATGGTATAATTGCCCATTTTTAACGGATTTTTGCCCTAAAAAGTTCACCTAGAACTTTCGGGAGCCTCTTTTCTGGCTGAAATTTTCGAAAAGGTCAGTTTTGATTCCTATAATTTTCGGATCACTAGACTTTCAGCTAGGAAATCCGAACAGATGAAAAATTTTAGGGGATAAAAATATGCTCATGTCTACCATTTTTTAATACGTTTAACAATGCTATGTTTAAGTGGTTTTGAACTTTATTCTCGTTGGGTGCCCTTGCTCCAGAGACTGTGCCTAATGCGCGTCATCATAGGAAGAGAAGGAAACTGAAGCGAAAATTGGGTGTTAGTAAATTTGAAAATGCTGACTATCCACAACACACTGAGCAGTGCCGCTTAGTCAACGAGATAGTCAAAACTGCTAAAGAAACCTACTTTGCCACCATTTTTGAGATTAGCAAGGGCGACCAACGCAGCTTGTTCCAGTCCATTGACCATCTCTTGAACCGTAAAGCTGTTCCCCGTTTTCCATTAAGTTCCTCCGACCTAGAACTTGCTGAAAGTTTCAAGAATTTCTTAGCAAATAAAATTGAGCCCATCCGTGCGCATGTGATTGCTGTGACAACGCCTCCCAGTTTAAAGATTTGTTGTGACGATAATCCCCATGAATTTACAAATTTTCGACCGGTATCGTCCAAGAAAATATCAGGTCTTATTGGCTTTAAAGTAGAAAGTTGTGAAGTCTATCCTGTCCTGCGCCTGTATTGAAACCTTCTCTGTCTGTGTTAACACCAGTTATCACTGAAATTGGAAATCGTTCTGTGGCCACAGGCTTCATACCTCAGTGTCTCCAAACTGCACACAAATTCGACGGTTGTTCAAGAAGAGTAGTCCTGACTCTGGATACTTCAAGAACTTTAGACGAGTGTCTTCCGTTTATTTCTAAAGTCATTGAGGAAGTTATCTGCTTTCAGCTTAATTGCCAACTATATTGAAACTAATAACCTAGGTGAAACCTATCAATCGGCTTATAAGAGTCTTCACAGCACGGAAACAGCCCTACTTAGAGTTCATGATGATATTTTGGGAGCGATTAAAAACAACAGATCTGTTGCCTTGTTACTACTTGATCTCTTGGCTGCCTTTGATCGAATCGACCATGGAATTTTTTTACATCGTCTTGAATTCTGCTTTGGTGTTAAAGGCAGTGCCCCTCGTCACACGCGAGAAAAAAACATCTGGCACCCAGGGTACATCAAACAACGCATTGTCTTCAAAATCTTGAATTGGTAACTACACACAAGGCACTGAATGGACTCGCATCTGGTTATATTACCAACCTTCTTTGACAGATGTCCCTACGCGATCCCTACGATCCTCTAATCAGTTGTTCACTGAAAGTTCCAAGTAAAAACACCGTTTCGTTTGGAGACCGTGCATTCAGCGTTGCAGCGCCAAAACTGGGGAATTCTAAAAAAAATATTTAAAAAAATTTTAAAAAATATATTATTATTATTATTATTATTATTATTATTATTATTATTATTATTATTATTATTATTATTATTATTATTATTATTATAGAAATGCTATTCTTTTAAACTAGTTTGGTATTTGACGAAGTCAATACAAAAACAGGTATTAAAACATGCATAGTATTGGGTTAGCATTAGGTAACGTCGGCTGAAGTCAGATTGTTCCTCTCAGTAAAATTACACGAAGAACAACTTAAGTCCAACTTTACTGTGTAATATAAAAGTGAAATAGAAAAACTCCACTGTGATGCTTTGAACCCGGGTCACTTGCTTTATAGCCTACCTGCCAAATCCAGGAATTTTTTAAATATACATGTTCTTATATATGCCGTACCCCATTACAATATCTGAAAGCTAACCGTTTTCAGTTCAGTGCTTAACCCTAATCACTGATCAGTGCTTAACTCTCTACTGTGTTCTCTCTATAACTGGCGCTCTGTAGTTTTGGTTTCTTCAGCTATTCTAGCCTGATTCTACATTCCAGTCTCGTTCTATTATGAAAATAATGCGTTGTGTAAAATTCATAAGGTGTCCAATCTGGCTTCACTCGATTTTATCTAATGCTAACCTAGTATTAATGGCGCAGAAAATGAAATAAGCAAATGATCTGATACCCACTCGGGTCTGTGTTTACGTAAATTCATCATTGCGGTTCTTAGTAAAACGTGCATACCGTACGTGGTTGATAATTTTTGCTCCTTAGGTTACATTCTAAGAATCTGCATGTGACGGCTTCACCAGATTAAACCTTCATGACGACTTCGGAGCGGTCAAAACCCAGGGGCCCCACTCACATATTTTAATGACGGAGGGGTCCGAAGGATTTTTTTGGGTCTGACATTTTGGCCAAAAGGGATTTTTTTGTGTCATTCTCCGAACCCCACCCCAGTTTGACCGCGTTGAAGTCCTAATGCCTTGCACCATAAAGGAGTATGTTATCTTGTCATAAGTCAGGAAAGTTCTAAATCAAACGTATCGGCTTTTTAGTTTCCTTTATTTACCTGAGGTTTCGCTTTTCTGACACAACAGCAAAGCATGGAATATTCGGTAGGTGACATTCTCCGCAGATATAAATATCGCAACGAAAAAAAGAGTAACTTTTTGCGTCGTTTTCTTGGTTCTGAGTGTTTTAGTTCAAGGGGAAGAGCGTAACCTTGGTGAGGACTATTTTATCCAATTTGTCTCATTTTTTGGTACAAGAAAAAAGGACGAAGATACCTGTAAAAATCATCGCCTGTTTTGCTTGCAACTCTCCGGGAATAAAGAACCTAAACAACAGTCGTAGTCACCGGGCAGACAGATTCGGTAACGAAAACACTGTTATCATCGAGCTAAAGATAGAAAAGTAATTTATCGTAATTTATTCAGCTTTTTTTGGTCAGCCGTTATTTTTTTGCGCACAGTAGGCCATTTTACGGTTATGCATGGACGCGAGGCTGACGGTGACTTTGTTTCAGATACAAACCTTCGTGCTTCATTATGTAAATCAAGCTATTCTTATACCAGCGACACGCGTGCAAAACGTCTGCGCATGCGCAAGGTCTCTATTTTCAATAATTAAAATTTGCAAAATCTTGCCCATTTAAATTGAAAAACACTTAGGAATGTTTGATATGTTTAATGGTTTGCAGCCGGTTCTAGTATTAAGCACAGCAAAAAATTACTTAAACTAACTTATGATTGACCATTTCAGCAGGTCATGTTCCAAAAAGGCAGGAACAAAAAGGTGAATCGTACGTAACCAGCAAAAGCAACAAGCGTAACTGGCTCGAGTCGCTGTACTAGACCAAAACAGCAACAATGGCTAAGGCGAAGTGCTGCCAGAGCGAGCGTGGACTTTCAAACATGATTTTCGCCTTTAGTGCAAGGAGGAAAGTATGTGGTGCAAAAGAGAGAAACTAAAGCAATTAATAAACTTTGTGTTCGTGAAATTCTAAGCTTATCTTTTGTGTTTGGAGCTTACTTTTTTGAATTTCGCGGCCGGAATCCAGTTTGTTTTGGTATCGCGTATACTTTCGATTGGGGGAGGCACATGCAAATTCGCGCCGGAAGCAGGGAAGGCACGCAT